ATTCATTCACATACCAAAAATGAGCAAAATCCGTTGAACCTGAACTGACTAATGGCAATTCCCATTTTTGCCAAAAAAATTGCCGTGGCTCGAATGTACGTCGACTGGCGTGCTTCAAAATAGGAGTAGGACGTTTAATATGGGAGCATAGCAGTAACAACTAAGCCCAATTTCAAACATGTGGGCCAAACGGTTCCTGAGTTATCGTTGACCGTAGCAAAATGTTGACGGACGGACGGACGTACGACGGACGACGACCCATGGCAATAGCTCAGCTTGACGATGTCAAGGCGAGCTAAAAAAAAAAGAGAAATCGTGATGAATAACATTTAAAATGTATATATCAATAATATTGACAATAATATAATCAATCAATAATAATCAATCAATATAATCAATCAATAATATCAATCAATATATAATCAATAATATTGACAATATAGTACTGTGTTATTTACAAAGCATAGCTGTTTTATACGTTGTCGCCACTTTCATGAATGGTAATTGTAACTGTAACTAGTTTAAGCATATATACATCTTAATTTCCAAGAGTGTAACAACATCTTCCACTAAATACTTATCTACAAGAAGAGTAACATGGGAGGGATCGAGTAATGCAGATTTTCCGCCAAAATTAATTGTGTTCCGCAGTATTAAGTTGCACGAGTAAATGCCCTAAAGTTACTAGTCAATATATTCCTAGACAAATTCATAAGATCCAATTCAGGTCGATCACGCATCGAACACACATCGATACACATCGATCACACACGTCGATCACACATCGATCACACATCGAACCTTTAGGTCGATCACATCAAATCGAACCAAAATAAATCAAACCAGTATATATATATGGACTTACCTCATACAGACAGACAGGCACATTTGTCACATTCGGTGATAGGGCTGTCCACCACTTGTAACTTCACACGCTGTGTCAGGAATGGCTTTTCCAAGCTTGCGCCGGTATATGCACAGCAGATTCCACACTCGACCGTGAAGTCCTATACCAAACTATGACCAAAACAGCCCGTGATAATCCGGATGACAAACGTACTAAGTCTGGTTGAACTGGAATGATTGTCACAGAGATCGATGGACTAATAATCACTCCGCTTCGTTATCGTGTTCCGCTTTATCGGCCGTCGTTAGTATAGCTATGGGCTGGTAACAGGAAACTCCGTTGTGCGGGTGTTACGGCGATCAATAGATATATATATATACAAACACATCTACGGGCGATCTAACCGCGCGCAGAAATGATTCATACGTGGGCGCGTTTCTGTTTCTGTTTCTGTTTCTGTTTCTGTTTCGCCTTATCGCTCCACTCATAGACATCCTATTATAATACTAGACAGGCCACGACCAATGAACGAACAGTAGCTCAAACGAGATTCCGCGCCGCCATCTTGGAACATTACATACTGGGCAAAACAGTGTAGAAATATGGCTGATCATAGCTATTTCAACAGCGATCAAAAATCGGTACAAAGCTCGCAACGAACAGTTGGTACGCAATGTTTTGCTATCCACTGTGGGAATCAACAAAAATTTTGAACCTCGTGACTGAAAGACTCGAAGACTCAAGTGAAGTGACTCATAACGCACTACGGATCTCGATCTCGCTTTCTTCTCGATGTACGAGCAACTAGTTCAAATAGTGATATTGTTGAACAAAATCAATGAACAAAATTAATACTGAATTTCCAACTACTGTTTTCTAATTCCTGCTTCCAGAACGGAATGAACAGCAGTGCGATTATACAATTTATTATAACGGTTAATATTTTTATGTATGCGTGTACGTGTACGCATATTAGCTCAATTCAAATTGTACAGTGCTCACTCCTCCATGCTCTGATAACCTTTTTAGTAGTAACTATGCGTCAACATCTAAGACGACTAACACCCAAGAACCACCACAACACGGACAAACTAGTACAACACAAGTAGCGAATCTTACCATGATTAAAGTTTTGGAATTCTCGGGAACCTATAGCTGTGGGGTGATGATGGTGGCTGTTGCAGCGATCAGTATAGAGAGGATGTGTGCAACGATGAGTCCTCGGTAACTGTCAGGGAATGGTTGCTCCTCGCTCACCGCTTTGTATAGGTGCAAGGGCCCACGCTGCCAGACGCTTGCACTGTGCAAATAGGAACGACGGAGGGTTGGGTGCTGTTTATCAATTCTGCGTCTGGCACGCTCCACGTTCAAAGTTCTCTGCTGTTTAAAGTTTAAGTTTAATCTGCGGACGTTTAAACATACCCGCGTGCGCGATTCCGACGATGAGCAAGAGTGAAATGTTGCTAATAAATCTGTTAAGAATATTATATTATAGGAACGAGCGCGTTATTGAGCAAGTGAAGGTCATTATATAGCTCCGCCAAGGAGGTTATGTTTTCGTCCCTGTTAGTTTGTGGGTAATGCTATCCGCCGGGCGTGGATGGAGGTGACCGCAACGTGGCAGCACTAGTGTTATGATAGTGTTAGGATTAGGGTTAGGGTCAGGGTTAGGGTTCGGGTTAGGGTTAGGGTTAAGGTTAGGATTAGGGTTAGGATTAGGGTTAGGGTTAGGGATAGGGTTAGGATTAGGGTTAGGGTTTTTGCATCATGATATGTCTCCACACCATAGATTAATTTTTTTGTATCACAATAGCTATAAATAGCGCTCCAAGATATATGTGTTTAGAGTTATGTTATCGATGGAGGTGTTGCAGTTAGCGTTACCGAGTGATTAATGATGTTGTGGTATACGTCAACTGTATCACGTGACCCTCCCTCCACGCCTGGGGGATAGCAACACCCTTAGTTTGTTACCTCCGCCAAGAAAGTTGTGTTTTCGCCTCTGTTCGTTTGTTACCTCTGCCAAGGAGGTTATGTTCTCGCCCCTGTTAGTTTGTAATATACTTCACTATAGTTGACATGTACATAGACATGTACTGAAAAGGTGTTATTTCCGTTTTTCTTACATTTAAAAATTTGAAATTTTTACCTTCCATGTGCACCAGATCGCTCCATTTCAGTGCAAAATTGAAAAAGCTCACTGCCGGCATGGTCGCTTCATTCTCTCAATTGGGCCCCCCCACTTTGAAAACCGTGGCGCCGCCCCTGCTCACCACCGTGACGAACCGTCACACACCGTGGTATTTGGGTCACTTTTCAGGTTCCCGTTCTCGTCGGTTCCCGTAGTTTCACGTTTTACCTTCCCGCCATGCGAAGTGAGAAGCGATAAGGTAACTTGTGGCTGGCTAACTTTGCACAAGTGAGACTACTGGAACCTCTGTTATATGAAATATGTTGAAGTATGATGTAGTTATTATTTATTGTCGCTGTTCGTATTTGCCACTCAACGCTTTCGTATCGCTGGAGCACTTAGTATTGGGGTCACTTTTGCACCTATATCGCACACACGTTTCACGGTTCAAGAAGCGAAAGCAGTTTATTGGTTATATTCGCTATTCTTGTTACGGAGAATAAGAAAGTGGATTTTCCAACGTCGGAATCAATGTAATCGACAGTTGTGTAGAATCTCTTTATAGCTACGAGGATGTCCTTAATTACTGGTTGTTATGCTGGACTATGTTATAACGGAGAAACTATTGGAAGACGTCGGTGATGGGCAGTATTGTCCGCAGGCATTGTGTAGGTAGTAGTGGCGCAGACAAACGAATACACAGTAACATCGACTGCGAGCGATTATCATAGCGGAAAGTCTGACATAAGCTATATATATGTACACGCACGCGCACGCACGCACGCACGCACGCGCACGCATACGCACGCACGCACGCACGCACGCACGCGCACGCGTACGCGCACACGCACGCGCAAACGCATGTATGCGCACGGGCACGCACACGCACGCACGCACGCGCACGCGTACGCACACGCATGCATGCGCACGCGCACGCACACGTACGCATGTGCGTGTGCGTGTGTGCGTAGGAATGGACGTGCGTGCGTGCGTGCGTATGCTTGTGTGATGTGCGTGTGCGTGTGACTGCTTGCGTGTGTGCGTAGGTATGGACGTGCGTGAGCGTGTGTTTGTGTGTGCGGGTGCGGGTGCTCGCGCGTGTGTTTGTGGACGCACACATAATCGTCGGTAAGACAATAACAGATATTAACAAATATAACAGCGGGTTATATTCATCTTCACTAGCCAGCTCAATCCGTGAAGCCCTTTTCTACGCAACAGCAGCGGATCGAAACTCTTGCAGAACGAACCACAGTTGCTGAGCGAAGGGCTATAGACATAACGTGGAATCCAAAGCGTGATGCTACGAGAAAAGTCCAGAGAATTCCTTCTATATAAAGGGACTCTAAGCTGTCGGAACGATAGAAAAGGGAAAGTGGCGCCATCTATAGGCATCGTGGGCAAGTTACTTTCCTCGGCTGTGCCTAAGCCCGAAGCTCCGTCAGGAAGCAGCGATACCCAATACTGACGTCTTCAGCATGTTTCATAGAAAAATTCAAAAATTCATATCATTTCTGACAAACAATCTACACCTTTCCAACTCTTAGTCATTTAAACAAAGGTCTGATTGTCGTTTATCGACTGCGATGTGTAACAATCACACGTGCGTATCACAATTACATCAATTACCTTGGGTTGATCAATTAATCAATTGATTAATCAAGTAATCACCAGAAACGAGTGTTTGATTATCATGATCATGATTGATCATATCTGTGTATTCTCGATAGTTATCTTATTAGATAGATATCGAACATTGTGTCTGTTTTTACAATCGCTGGGATGTATTAAGATTGTCTTTGTTCTGGCCGACTCTATAAACTGTATATTTCGCGGTGGTTTAATTTGAGCGAATTTCGCGAACACGTCTCTGACGCAAAAATAACAAAACGCGAATAATTCATACCGAATAATACCGGATAATTAATAATTCACCGACCGGAAAATTAACCACTCGTGAAGTCTAAATTCGCGAAAACATCTGTATGCGAAAAATATGGCGTAAACAGCATTTAAAACATTCTCGACGTTGCTCGTGTTGTTGAAGCGTAGCAGCGAAGAAAAAAGTGGCAGTCCGGCGAAACGCTCGAGGAAGCTGGCTAGCAGATCTCCCGTGGTCGCTCAGCTAGACGTGACGGAGAGTGACGAGGAAACCTTCTACTACACTCCGCCGCAGAGCCGACTGCAGCTGATGCGGCTGCAGCACACCAGACCTACCTGTCACGTTCAGTAATGCATCTGATGTTTATGTTTTCTACCACCAGGTGTCAGTAGTAGTGCCACCACGGCCATAAAGTAATGCAACGCAGAATGAATATTGTCAACATTATCTGCTTATCTATTCACCATAACCATCACCAGATGTGTGTTTCATGAGAAAATCTCGCGATTAAATCTGCTGAGAAAGCTGCCATCTTGGATAAAGCGAGCGCTCGGTGCATAGCTCGGTGTCGTTCAAGTGGCGCTGCGTTCGTGCTGCGAGCGTTCGCGCTGTTGAACACGCCTCAGAAGACGCTACACTACCCCTCCCCCCTAGCGCAATGTGCCACACAAGCACGTCAAGCGCGTATGTCTCTCGCCAACCGCCGCTTCTCTGTCATGGTCACCTCAGCGCAGCTACGAGGTAAGGGCAAATATCACGCAGGCAGTGAGTACGTACGTGAGTATTCGCTTGGCTTTGTTAGGTTTGATTTTGAGTTACATATACACTTCTAGTGCATACCTATGAAGCACTCACGCAGGAAATGCTTATTTCCATTAAAGAGGGGAGATGTTATGATATATGCCCGTCAGATGTCACGTCGCGAACAACGTGTGTGTCGCGTGGTATGCACGCATGGTGTCAAAGCAATCCAGTTATTCAAAAAAACATATCTGCGTTGACTATGCACATGTGTGAGCATCAAACATAACAGGCTTATTCCCTATAAGTCTAGGGCGTAGTGTCCTTTCAGTCTATGGTTGGACTGCATACACAGTCTATAGTATATATATATATATATATACCCTATTAATGGGTACATTATGACAGGTGGATCGGTTGAGTAGTGGGTTATTAATGATTATATTTTTTGGTGTTGTGTGGTAGCAGGAGCACCTCAAATATGTGATTCTGGTGGTAATAAGTACTTTCCGAATTGCATACATTTCATGGTAAAATAGTTGTTTTATTTTTCATTTTTTTAAATATTTAGAACCTAACTATATAAGCCTTTAGAGTTTTTTACAGAGCAAAATGATTTGCAAACTTTTAACATTTGTACTTGTGGTTATTAAAACGCGCCAATTCACCAATGCATCATACCAAGAGCTAATAATACCTAGAGTGTACAACGGAAAAACGGGAAAATAGTGCTATTTCACGACTACATTATTCTACTTTGCCTGCGAGTCTAGAATAATTCCTTGCTCTCTACAACAAGACCAACCGCTTGTCAATACGATACTCCTAGGCTGAGATATCGGCTCCTAAACCTCCCCTCCCACATGCCTTACGCCGCTTTGAATCCACATCATTCAGCAACCTACACGCGTCCAAGCATTGCTTCGTGAAAGTTCGGTTTTTCTGCGATAAATTTATGAATGAACGGTGCTTCGCCTATGACCTTATCTTCCATTATCTTTCCTAGCACAGCTAATGCCCGTCATGATGGAGCCGGCTCCATCAAGTTTTTACAACGCAGCTCAGTTACTCAGTGTAGTAAGAGTACCAAATTTGGGCATGTGACATCAATTATCAGCGCTACAAGCGGTGACGGAAACCGATAGCCAAAATGCTTAGACGCGTGTAGGTTGCTGAATGATGTGGATTCAAAGCGGCGTAAGGCATGTGGGAGGGGAGGTTTAGGAGCCGATATCTCCGCCTAGGAGTATCGTATTGACAAGCGGTTGGTCTTGTTGTAGAGAGCAAGGAATTCTGCTTAATGCAATACCATAAAATTATTCTAGACTCGCAGGCAAAGTAGAATAATGTAGTTGTGAAATAGCACTATTTTCCCGTTTTTCTGTTGTACACTCATGGGATTATTAGCTCTTGATCATACCGATAATCTACACATTTCTATATAAACTGAATAGTGTTACTACATATACTCGATTTTACATTGCAATGAAACACGTCTGCCAACACGCGCAACAATTAGAACATAGATCTACCAAGTATTGATAATATCTTCTGGGTTATCGCATCTCCGATCCTACATGGGCTTCCTCGGTTAACACGCTTAGTGTCGCCTATGTTGGTCTAGCGTGTGTCCTGACAAATTCTATGAGACTCAAAGGCAGCCTGTTCTCGTATGCAACGCTGTGTCTGACGATAACGCGCGCGCAGTGGCACTTCAGCGATTGATACTGCGCGCTCATTCTGCCATGTATCTCGTCGCTCGACTCCACGTTGCCGCGGAAACGCGTCGGGTTAATCCGGCGGCAGAGTTCGTACGGCGTCTTTCCCCGTGCGTTCACCACGTCGACGTGTGCGCCGTGGTTGAACAGCAGCGCGTGCACAATCTGCATGCACCCCTCCCTCTGTCGTGCGTAAACATCGCCTTTGCATGCGCGCATCATCCTACAGAAGATGTGCAGCGGGGTGTTGCCCTCGCTGTCGCGTGTGTTAACCTGTAGAAGTACGCCGGCGGACTCGCACGTCTGTAGGAGAGCTGACGCTGCTTGTACCACTGACGCCACTTGTGCTGCTTGCTCGCTCATCATGGGGCTTCTCGCCTCCGGCTGGCGGCCTATTATAGCGAGCGGCGTCCTCTTGTGACAATCGACGAGGTTCGGGTCAGCTCCGTGTTTCAAGAGGTGAGTAATCATCTGTGTGAACGAAAGAAACGAGGATCGTTAACAACCCGATTTTACAGTCGTTCATTATAGAACAAGTTTCTCCGAGCATACTACATTTATTACTGTTGTCGATTACTAACTATTACTATTATTAAATTATTCATTTTTCCTCGGTCCCGAGTAGATTGCAGGAGTAGTGTAATGCGGTGAAACAATTTAACATATCTATTATTAACTGTTAACCGATTACTATTACTGATTACCTTTACCATCTATAAGAAAATACATTAGGGCATTGCTAACGTACGCCCGTAGTTTTACCTCGGTATGAAGTAGATCACAGGACAAGTGTAACGCGGTGAAACTCTCAAATTTTTCCGTCACGGCGGCGTTGGGGTCTGTGCCGGCCTCGAGTAGCATGCGCATGATGTCGAGCCAGCCAGAGACGACCGCGACGTGCAAGGAGGTCAATCCGTACGAGTTCGCGGCGTTGGAGTCGGCGCCGTGTGAGAGCAGCATCCGCACCATCGCCTCATCGCCCTCCTTCACCGCCATCATCAGCGATGTGCGTCTGGTCTCCGTCTCGGCGGCATTTGGATCTGCACCAGCCTCTAGTAGCAGGCGCACGATGTCCAGCCGGTCAAAGCAAGCCGCGTGGTGCAGGGAGGTATGTGCTTGCCAGTCCGCGGCATTGGCGTCAGCGCCGTGTGAGAGCAGCATCTGCACCACCGTCTCCTCGCCCTTACTCACCGCCCACATCAGCGGCGTCACTCCACTCTCCGCATCGTCGACGTTTGGATCTGCACCGGCCTCTAGTAGCAGGCGCACAATGTCCAGCCGGCCAACGCAAGCCGCGTGGTGCAGGGAGGTATGTGCTTGCCAGTCCGCGGCATTGGCGTCGGTGCCGTGTGAGAGCAGCATCTGCACCATCGCCTCCTCGCCCTTACTCACCGCCATCATCAGCGGCGTCGCTCCGCTCTTCGTATCGGTGACGTTGGGGTTGGCACCGGCCTCCAGTAGCAGGCGCATAAAGGCGTCTTCCGGCCACGTAGTGTTAAGCGAGATGGGAACTTGTGGCTACCCCATGCATAGATCAATGCTGCCGCACATCCGCAAAGTTACAAGTGCCTAGAATCTTTTCAAGTATATACAGTTTACATTGCTTCTAGATATCTAAATGAATAAAAATAATTCACTATCTACAAATCAGTGACGAATTCAGTTAACAGCTTTGGTTGCGCGAGGGTCTTGTGTCACTGGTCGAGCCCCCACTCCCCACG